CCACAGGAACTTTGCTGCAAGACAGGCATATGTAACGATGAATTGGCGCAGATAAAGTCGTGTCTTATTTATACTCTGTTCTACTGACAACAGGCCAGCGAAAAATCTAACAATCTACAGCAAAACCATCAATTATTATGGGCGTTATAACATAGGTGTGCAGCTGAACGAAACATACACGTCGAACCCCCCCAGACGATTTAAATCCCTGACGAAACATACACGACGAACCACGGCAACGGGTTAATTTAAACATTATAAAAATGTATGATAGTAAAGGATGTAATTACTTGCCATCATTCAGAATAGTGTTTTATTGGGCTAATTATAAATAAAGTGGCCTGGTGCATAAGGCTGACAACCTTACAGCCATCTTTGAGCCGATTATCTAGATAGTGTGGGAGCCTCGACGTATCACATCCCTATGGGCCTTCATGGCCTGTTACAGGGATAGCTTTACTTTTTTTATAAATAAAGTGGCAATATTCACAAAATATACTAAAATATTAATTTTTAGAATTTGAACTGTCATGACAGCCTAAGGAATGATTTCTCTGCAGCCTTTCATGAAATTTATCTTTGTGCTTTATAAATTTATATATTATATGTTAAAAAAAGGCTTTTATTGACTACAGACTTACAATACATAGAAATTAACGAAGATGTGAGAATTTCATCATTTGATAAAGAATATATATACTAATATACTAAAATCAGAGGTCGTCAGTATAATAGAAAATATTGTCACGTGACAAATAACTTCACATAGCCTTTGGATTCAACGAGTATTTATTGAACTCATTCATCCACACTTACGTAAAGTCTGGAATACAATTACTATCACTTTCAGTATCATAACTACTGCCTCAACTTCAGTACTTCTACTGCGGCTCCGACCTCTCAACTGTCCTTGGCCATGGCTGGATCTTGACTGTCTCGTTCATACTTGTCTTCAGCTATATATCGGCGAATGCTGGATTTCAATATATAGGGGTCTTTTGAACCACTTAGAGGACACCATCTTCAACCATCCGGTTTCACGTGTCCTACGCTCATTACCGCGGAAGTGTGTTATTCCCGCTGGTTCAACAACTTGTTGCCACGGTTCTCCCTAGACAACAGTCTGTTGGTATTCGACTTGTCGCTGTGGGAACTCAACAGTTTCCATTGTATCCGTTGCTGAGCAATGGACGACATATAACATGTTACAATATAATAGAGAATGACCCAGAAATTACAGAAACTAATCAAAAAGAAATAGACATATGAAAAACAATAATATAATAAATTTACTTTCAATTCAACCAACAATATTACAAACAGAATGATTTGCAATGGGTGCTCTTACTTCTGCTATATTAGCCAAAATATATCCAATATATGGAGCGTAAATAACTGTACCCAATCTTGAAGGAAAACCAGATAATTGGGTAATTTAGATATGTGGACATTCTCATAATTTACAACTGAAAGAAAGCAAATATAGATGAAACACACTGAATTCAGTAAATAACCAACCAATACAAAATTTACTGTCAAAGAAGAACAACAGAATTCCATAAATTTCCTGGATCTTATAATACACCGAAAAAGAACAAAACTAGAATATGGGATATATAGGAAACCTACACCTACAGATACCATAATACTGAATGACTCGTGCCACCCATATGAACATAAAATAACAAACACTAACTACTTAATGAGCCGGTCACGGTAGCCGAGCGGTCTAAGGCATGCACTGTCTTCGCTCGCTCGGAAGCCGGGATCGTGGGTTCGAATCCCACTCAGGGCATGGATGTTTGTGTGCGTTTTTCTGTGTTTGTCTATAGGTAGAGGCCTTGCGACAAGCTGATCACTCGCCCAAGGAATCCTACCGTATGTGTAAGATCTAGAAAAACCGAAATGAACGGAGTTCATGGAGATAGGCCTAGGCCCACTGGGGCTGTAGTGCCAAGGGGGGGGGGAACTACTTAATGAACAGAGTGAATACATGTCCAAAAACAAATGAAACAAAGGAATTAATATTATATAAGATGTGTTATATAACAGTGAATATAATACAAACTTAAGCATAAGTCATTCAAAACCCCAAAACAACAAAAATTCGAGTCCACAGCATACAGATACAAAAAAGTGACATATACCAAATGAGACATGAATTTCCCACTAAAATATATAGGGTAAGCAGCCTGAACATTCCAGACCAGACATAAAGAACATATACAGGCAATAAGAAGTCCTATCTGGAAAATAGAAGGCAAAGAGTTGAACTCTATAATAATGAAAATGGTAAATGCTGTTCAGACTGGGGAACTGTCAAATATGGAGTGCCACAGGGCTCGATTTTGGGTCCTTTGTTGTTCCTTTTATATATTAATGACCTGCCGTCAGCATTAAATACTGACAATATTGGGCATTGGGCATTGAAATTGATAAGTGCTTGAATTGGAAGACACAGGTTGAATCATTGTTACCCAGATTGGGAAAGGCATGTTATGCAATATGAATTATGAAACCATACAGTAATGTTACAACACTTAAAATGATATATCATGCATACTTTCATTCACTCATGAGATATGGAATAGTTTTTTGGGGTAATTCGTCAGAGGCCAAGAAGATCTTTCTCTTACAAAAGAAGACTATTAGAATAATAATGGGGATGAAACATAGAGAGTCATGTAGGCCAGCATTTATAAAGTTAAATATATTAACACTGATGTCTCAATATATTTTATCTCTGATGACTTTTATGATAAATAACTTGGAGTATTTTACTTTTAGTTATTCAATTTATGAGAGACCAACAAGACACGAAAGAAATTTACATGTCCTACAATCACATCTCGCAATGAGGCAGAAAGGGGTCCATTGCATGAGTATAAAAATATTTAACAGTCTGCCCGGATATTTATCTAACCTGGTACATGATAAAAAACAGTTTATAAATGAAATAAGAGATGTCCTAATACATAATCCGTCATATACTGTTGATGAATTTTTGCTCTTCTATCGGGATCAACAGCTAAGGAATAGAAGGGGGGTGCATGCTGACTGATGGATGTCCCACAGTAGGCATCAATATAGACATTAAGTGTAAGTGTAAGTTAAGGAAGAAGAATTATTATGTATTGCTAATTGTCTTGTTGGTGTAATTGTATGTGTAACATTGTATTTATTTATTTGAGGTATTCAGTTTAGATTTTAACTATGGTTGAATTGATGTTTCTACGATTTTATCTGTGATTGTCTTGTGACTGTTGTTTGACAAGTTTTATATTCAGTGCCAGTTGCACACTTGTGAATACTCTGAAACGCTGATGTATGTATGTAAGTAATAACAGCAACTCAGGATATTCAAATCATGTATTAAATACAGGACATGCATATAGGAGTATAACACTATGAAAGTAATAAAAATAGAGAAAAAAGGAAAAATCTGAATACACTGGAGAAATACCATATATATATATAAAATGAGTAAAGATGGATTTCAAATGAACAACACATACGTCAACACCCATAAGCTGATATTTGAAGTAATACATGAATTAAACAACAGATAGTGACATGAACACATTATGAAAGAAAGAACCAGTCCAACTCGGCAAACGTGAAAACAAGACACACAGCACAAGACACAACAAGAGAGAACACATCCCACCAACTGAAACACATGGACATCGAGAGGATATATATATTTTAACATAAGCAACAGCGGTTTCCTCACCAAAAATAATAACACCTGATGATGGCCACATTGGTCAGAACATGTAGTGATGGACTTTCAAACTTTTAAAGTTAATAAATTTTATAGAACATAATTTTTCACGTGAGACTAACTAATCAACACTAAGTGAAAAGTGTAACAGGATGCTGCAATATAATATTATTTTGTTCTTACTTTACAGTATTATTTTCTATATTTATGCCTGCAGTAGTAGAAGAAACGGCTTTCATGCCACATTCAAATGTGATACAAATTAATTAATTCATTCATTATTTATTGAATATTTCAGACCATTTTTGTTGTCAGGTTTCTTCCTTATAATTGGTATTTTCTTTGGATCTTATAAAGAAATAGTTTGTTTGTTCTCAGGGATAACCAGATGTGCAGAAGCAAGAAGTTGATTCCATTTAGAGATTCTAAGCTAACAAGACTCTTTCAGGGGGCACTAAATGGAAATGAATGTTTTTCAATGATAGTTAATGTGAACCCCACGTCATTTCTGCGGGAAGAAACTTTCAATGTGCTGATGTTTTCAGCTGTAGCAAAGCAGGTAAATATTTTTATCATTGTTAGTGTATACCTGCATTAGTCATATTCACGGTATAAAAATGTTAAAGTTTAGGCTGATCCACTTGAAACAGAGTTAGTCATGGTTCCCACAAGTTCTCTATTACGGATTTTCAATTATGTGTGCAATCTTCCTTGCATAAGAGATGTTCTAATGTAGCTTGTGTGTCACATATTTCTCAGGGAAAAATATTTCCACCTACTTTCATATCTTTATTTCTTCAAAATTATGCAAATAAGTTTGGAGAAGAATTAGATAAATGTTTTGAATATGCAAGAACAAAATGATCACTAGATTTTATCAAATACTATAGTGATTTAAAAATAACAGCTTCAGGGGAAACTTTACCAATTGCTTTACATGGACGCAGTAGGATCTTCTGAAATATCGGTGACCATCTTCGACTACACGGAATCATAACTCAGAAGGCCACAGTACAAATATTCACTGCTCTGGAAATTTCAAATATATATTAAGCAAAATAAATCTCTACCTGTAAATTATTTATTAATAAGGTTTTATTTTTTATTTCCTTGTAGATAATTCTGCCAGCCAGACATAGGAAGCGTGTTCCCAGATCATCACGTTTCTCTCAGTATATCTCTAAGAGCTCAACTCTAATATCAGATGGCACCTGTGAAGGTATATACTCAGCATAAAGAAAGTCTGGCATGAAGTGAAAAGGAAATTTTTGATTTCTTCCATAAGAAAGAAATAACTTAGTTACTTATGGAGCTGAGCCCTTCTCGAGAAGCCAAATCTGCAGATACTCAAGAATTTCCCAGCATTTTATGGAACCAAAAGGTTCATTACCATGTTCACAAGAGCCCTCCACTGGTCCCTATCCTGAGCCAGATCAATCCAATCCATAGCATCCCATCCTATCTCTCTAAGATCCATTTTAATATTATCCACCCACCTATGCCTTGGTCTTCCCAGTGGTCTCTTTCCTTCTGGCTTTTTGACCGATATCCTATATGCATTTCTCTTCTCCCTCATTTGTGCTACTTCCCTGCCCACCTCATCCTCCTTGACTTGATCATTCTAATTATACTTGGAGAAGAGTACAGGTTATGAAGCTCCTCATTATCCATAAGAAATATTAGGATCATAAAATGATTAAGAAAATACATTGTGATTTTTAGAAATGATGTGAATGTAAAGCTTTGTTCTGTAACTGCCTGTACAACATTTCTTGCGCTGTCTAGGTGCATAAGGAACATCAGTGCAGTGTATGAGCTGTAGGAGTTACAAAATGGTACCAACTCTGCATTAAAGAACCAAGTTGGTCATATGGTTTTGCCATCCTCAAAGTGTTATGAAAGTGCAGCAAGAGTATCAACATGTGTAGGGTGTTCTGAAGCCCTGTCACACTGAAATATCCATAGTAAATGTTAAATGTTCAAGGAAACTGGCTCCATTTTGAAGTGTTTGGTGGAAGTAAACGTAATACTTAAATTGTGGTTCTGCAAGTTATGCAGGCAAAGCCCTCAGAAGTCTGTAAGGCATCAATGGAAGCAGATGTTCCTTGTACAGTCTGCTGATGCAATGTACATACATGAAAATATTTCCATCCCACATTCATCATGTGCAGGCATTTTCAGAACTTTGACATGTGAACAGATGGATACAGACAGACACTTTCTGAGCAGATAATTGTTGACTGACAAGGCTACATTCAGTGTGTCTGACATCATGAATGCACATAACCTGATCATTTCCTACAAGCTTGAGAGAACAAGTCCAAAAGTGAATATCTTATGTGAAGTTAACATGCTAGAAATTATGGGGGCCTTCTTATATATATAGCAATTTGTGGGGGCTCTTATCTGGATATGCCCGCAGTTTCATCCATCTCAACTGCAGGACAGTGATTATAATTGTGTTATAGTCTGGCAGGACAGTACCTTACCATGTTGGTCCCTTAAGATGCATGATTTCCTCTACTGAATTGTCATGACAACAGCATGCATGGAAGTACAATGGACAAGTGAACAGTGCAGTGGTCTCCCTGAAAATAAAAGAAAAATTGCCTGATGATGGCCTATGTGCAGCTAAAACATGTTGTAAAGGGTAGAAACACATGAAAAACTAGAGACATTTAGTAATCTAATAATCACTTTTAGCGTATAAGTTATACTTTTGGCATCTTAATTATATTTTATGATTTTAACATCATAAAATATTAAAAGTTACACTTTTACTGAGAAACATATTCCAGATGTCTTTTATATTTTAAAATATTGTTGCATTATTGATGGGTGCTTTAATAATAAGGATGATCACTCCACATGTTAGCTGCAGAAATCTCTGACTTTCTGATTCATTGAATTTCCTCCTTTCCCACAGCAAGCAATTCATGCTAATATATAAGCTTTCCTATTTAATTTTTGATGTTATCTTTATAGGAGATATATCTACTTCACCACTACCAAGCAGTCGAGATAATCAGCATTTGCACAATCAGATTGAGGTAAAGAAATTTTATTTTAATAATGAAAATGATATTTTAACTTCTAGTGTACAGAATAGTGTCATTCTGTGCAGTTTTTCTAGTCTCATTTTAGATCATTTTATTCTTGGTCCCATTCATTTACATTTTAAGTTGCAGCTTTAACTCGGATAATGTAATCAGTTTCGTAGATTCAAGACGGTAATACTCACTCAGCAGAATCGCAAATTGTTGCCTAACACACACAATATGAAAACATTCTATTACATATTAACAGAGTCAAGATATCAATAAATTATCCAGAAACCCCAATAAGAGCAGGTAGAAGACAACTCGAAAATGAGCAGTTCTGTAATATAACTCTTATAAATAAGATAAATAGAGGCAGAGCAGAAAAGCTTGAAGGAAACAAAACCACATCCCACAAGAGTGGAGTGTTAAACACAAACACAGTACAAAGACATTTACAAACCTCTTAATTTTTAACTTTTAACATGTTTACTAGATTTATTAAGCATCAGAGAATATCTATAGTATGAAAATTGTCAAAAAATTTCTATTCCTAATTTCTTCATTGTCTTTATTCATATATGTAAGTACTTTTATGTATATACTTTTAATTATGTCAGATCCAACCTAATTACCAATTTAATTTTAACTCATAGCTTGCTCAGAACTTGTTGTCTGTTGTGTATCTCTCTCCTGATGCTGAATTCTGATCAGAACATGTATTGAATTAAGAAGGAAAATGAATTTAATGTAAAAACTTCATGTGACTGAAAATTTAACGATTGTTAATAAAATCACAAATGGGAGGCACCATTACAAAAATGTAATTCAAACCATGAAAGAGACTGAGTTAATGAATGCACATAAATTTTAAATAAAAGGGAATGAGCTCCCTTTTGTGACCAAGGACGTACTTGACTTTTCAGAGAAGCTAGATAGACTATGTGTTTTCTGTGGTAGGTCATTTCTATAAATCCCAGTGTAACCTAAGTTTTAATCACAACATACTTTATAAAATGTATATGAATATATAATGAAATGCATCATTAATTTCCTCCATCTTTCACACTCTAAATAGATAAATTGTAGTGGAAACTGAACTCTTATATACACATTTTTCTTATATCTGGTAATTTTTTTATTTATAATGTAATTTAATGACATTTTCAATTTCAATTATCATTATTTGCTAATCAGATAATCAAAGACCTTGTTTTGCAGATCCTTGTAAATAAAGTTGGTGAACTGAAAAAGCAGCTGGCAGCGGAGCATGCAGAAAAACTGTCATTAGAGGCTAAAGTACGGCAAGAGCTATGTGATAAATTCTCCAGTATGATGGTTGAAGCACAAGCAGATTGGAAGTGAGTACCATAATTTGCAGTTATCCACATCAAGCAGTCTCTGCTTGCAGTAAATCTTTTATTTGTGCTGTTGCTGCTTTAATGAATTCACTTTAACATGTGTCTAATTGGGAGGTACGCAGTAGTGTAGTTGGTTGAGGCACTATGCTACAAGCTGGAAGGTCATGGGTTCAAGTCCCGATGAGGTCATTGGATATTTTTCAATTGAACTAATCCTTCCAGCTGCACTATGGCCCTTAGGTTGACTCAGCCTCTAACAGAAATGAGTACCAGGAATATTCTTGAGGGGAATGGGTGGCTGGAGCGTAAGGCTGACAACCTTGCCGTCATCTATGAGCCGTTTGTCTAGAAAATGTGGGAACCTCAACATCTCACAACCCTATGGGTCTCCACAGCATGTTACAGGGATACCTTTACTTTACTTTATGGGTCTTAACTGCTGTTTGTCAGCACTGTTCATTAATTATGGGTCATAAACCTAATAAAGTAAGACCTCACTACTTTGGACTAATTGGGAGTGAACACTTGTCCAAATTAGTGAAAGTCTGAATTATGGAAGTACTACTGCTGAACAGTCTCATCAGTTTTGTTTTACTTGGGACCAGTTGTCCTCTTCTGCTTTTCAGCTTGATCACTAAATGTTCATCCTGTCTTACCACAAATTCCAATGTTCGTGATTTTTTTAATACCATATAAGTTGGTATATTTTGGAATAAGGTACTACATAGTTTCGTATTACCATATTTGCTGTAGTTCTGTTCTTTTGTTCCTGTGAATTTTTTTGGAGCATCATACTGCAAAGTGCTATGATGTTCTACCCTTCTTCTTCTTCCTCTCTCTCTCTTCTTCTTCTCCTCTCTCTCTCTCTCTTTTTAAAGCTCTCGGGTGTTGTGGTTTAGAATTATTACAATTGTGATGGTTCATTGTATTACAAATGTGCGACTTTATAATTATTAGGTCTCGTTTGGAAGACACACAGCATCGGTATGAGCAGATGGGTGACTGGAGAGTGAACAAGTTGCAAGAATACTATGAGCAACAGCTAAAAAGAAAACGGCACTGTGCTGATAATGATTCTGAAGAAGAGAACACAACAATGCAGGCATGTTAACGATCTATGTCAGTGAGTTGCGCAATAGGTATATTCTTGACCCACTGTCATTGACTTCCTCTCCATCTTGTTCTTGGTTGACCAACCTTTCTGATGTAGCATATAATAATGTTTTGCTGGAATACAGTTCCTTGAATTTAGTAACTAATTACACAGTACAGAATCCTTTCTGAGCTGCTAATAGTTACTTAGTAGCTTTACCTTTTATCAGTCTGGTTTTTCTTTATTGCTAGTGTGGTGGGACTAACTCCCTTGTACTGCGGCCACTTCTGGCCTGTTGTACCAGCCCCAGATGATAGGTGAGAGTGATTGTGGAGCAACTGGTGGAATGAAGACTGGCAGGGGAACCAAAGTACTCAGAGAAAATCTGCCCCGGAGCCACTTTGTCCACCACAAATCACGCTTGTNTACTCAGAGAAAATCTGCCCCAGAGCCACTTTGTCCACCACAAATCACGCTTGTCCAGACCCGGGATCGAACCCAGGCCACCGTGGTGGGAAGCCAGCAACTAACTGCTTGAGCTATGGCGCACCCAAATGGGGTTCCTTACTGTACTTGGAACCTGCCACAGAACCATATTATTAGTTCTGTATTAAATTATTATTTAATTTAAGCAAAATGTGTTTCTTTCTTTCTTGAAGTCTTCATTTCTTCTGTAGCCTATTAATCTGTATTTATCAAAGGATTTTAGAAATTTAATTTTTGTTTCTTATGTTTGTGAATAATTTTTGGTATTGTCCAAAGCTTTATGTCTACAGGGCAGTATGGGCATCAAATATTTCATGTCATGTTAAGATTCTTGAAAATGTTCCTCATATCTGTTCAAAAATTATTTTTTCATGTATATCACAGTTAGAATTGTATAACATAGATCTGAGTTGTCTAATTCTTCTTTTATTTTACTTTCTAAAATAAGTTTTACTTGTACTGTATTTCTTTCTTGAAAAATATTTTCATTTTGTAGAATTTAATAATACTATTTAATTATAAGCATACTTTTAAGTTCATTTTCTGAACCTAAGATGTTGTCATTTGTGCATGAAAGGATTACTAATTTTCCGTATTATATTATTTTTCAAGCTTGTCACTGCACTGTATAAATACATATTGTACATATTTAGAAGAAGGCCAGAACCTTGTCATAGTACTTAGTGTGTTATTTCTGCTTGTTCAATAAAGTAGTTTAATCCTTATTTAGAGCTGGGATGAAATCTCTTAGTTGTGTAATTCAAGTTGGGTGCAGTTTCCCTTCTCTCTCAAATCTCCCATAGTTTCTGTTGAATTTTTCTATTTGGGTGTTTTTCTGTGCTTTTATGGATCACAACATATTTTTCAACTCGAGACATGTTGTAATTGTTCTGTTGCAGACCTTCACTGGTGCATATTAAATCTACTTGCTGTGCCCTACTACATCACGTGAACATATGAACACACAAACATGTGTGAACATATGCGCTCGCACGTGCACACGCACACACACACTTTAGTCTACTGAAATATTCCCCGTATATTTTGTGAATGATCAAGGTTTGTCCTTTCAAACTTCCAATAAATGTACCTTCCTGGAAGCACAGTACAGAAGTTACATAAACAAAAAATAACGTATCTTTACATGCACTCTTTCTATTACTTTCCTATATTTCTTTATGGTTCTCTTAGTTACAGGTAATTTCAAATTGTTTTTCACTCTATTCTTAGGAAGCAACACATTTTCTAATATATACATGTTTATGTTTAATCCATATCATTTTGTAGGACAAGTTTTGCTGTATTTTTAGATATGTTCCTTGAATTCATTGCATGAAGTAAATGGGTACTGGGGTACTGATAGATAAACCTGTTGTATCAATTTTTATTAGGACATTGATGCAGAAGTGGCATGCTTACAAGAGAAGCTTCTTGTATCAGATGAATTACTCAAGGCATCACAGAAGGAATGCAGTGAGCTCTCGAGCAAATACTCCAAGCTGATGTTTGAACTGGCTCAGTGCAAGTTATCTCTGAAAAACAGTGAGAAACTTAAAGAGGTAACATTACATAATTCTTCATTTTCTACATATTGCGTAACAGATTAATGCAGTCCTATGCCTCCCTTTTTCCAGCTTTTAGATTCTTGTTTAGAGATGTGTGGTAGACTTCCTTGAACAGGGAATCAGTCCATTGCGGGGCCTCTTCCTTCGTAAGACAACACAAATGCAAGGATACAGGCATATGAGACAGCAGACATGTGATTATCTGGCTGTAGGGTAAACTACTCTGTGATGACTGTCACAAGCAGCTACAAAGTCAAGGTCTGATTACATGTTTTCCTTTCTTTTCTCATTTCCTTCCCACAGTCATCACCAGGTGTGTATCAACAACCACAACACCTCACTGGCCTGGGGTAATCATTAGTTGGCCACATCCATAGCCCAAATGGAATTCGAACCCATGATGCCAGTGTTCAAGCAGTAGAAGACTGCTCAGCCACTGTGACTGGGAACACTGTATATTCATTAGCATTAAAAATCAGTACTGTATTAATGGCTGTGCTTAAAAGATAGCTACTCTTTCTGTCTTGCCTTTCACACAACTCCCACCCTCCACACATGCACACACTTGCTTGGGAAAAGGAAACTTAACTGCAGAAATGAAGAGACATACAAGTGTCCTGTAAGTCTGAAATTATGTACAGAATGTAACTTTTGATACAGCTCTTAATAATATGTTTACTGTTCACACAAGCACAAATATTGCCAGTCCAAGAGTACTGTGGACTTGTTTGTGCTGTGATCTCATTGCCTGTAGTGACAGTTCACTCTTAAAGATGGCAGATACTGCTTACTTTCACTACATACATCTTGGCTTTCAGATGGCAAGAAGTAAATGTAAAAATTGAGAGATGTAATGTAAGGGGGAGTGTTTTGGCCAGTTGTCCTCACATTCTAACCCAGCATTGAGGGAACTGTTCATGCAGCCATTCTCTGACTGCATGAGCAGGACTCATTTCAAGATGTATGGGACACTCTGTAGTTTCAATTTGGTATGGGATATTTGTTTCATATGGTGAGAATTACATCATTTGCAGCAGTGCAAAACTTTGAGGTTATTTCTGGCAGCTCTAAGGCTGCAGGAATTAGAAGCCTTGTTTACAATTATCGTCCCCAGGATAGCATGTTTTTGTGTGTATGATGTTTGACAGGAGCATTATTTTGTATATTGCAGGCTGCCCAAGCTGCTTGTGAAGGAGACAGAAGTGTTCTAATCAAGGAGCTTGAAAGTCAACTGGCAGCAATGAGGGAAGAGCTCTGTAAAAAACAGGACAAAATTCAGGTAAACTACAATGAAATTATGTACAAGGAGTTCATTCTTCAAGATAATTGTGCCCTTTAGTTCTGGTAATATGTCTAAAGAAGTTTCCCTGCATGAAAATTAAATTAGTCTTTATCCTCCTCCTTTTCTTCCTTAAATTTGTTGATTTTAATTTCTCCCTGTTTTCATATGTACAGTCAACTCTCGATTATCCGGGGGCGGATTAACCGGTTTGCGGCTTAACCGGGGTTTTTTTTTTAAGTTTATATGTTGTTTAATATTCATTCACTTTTGTTTCACATGGTGAGTTTAACACTATTTTCGCACTAGTGTGAACCGAGCTCTGCATTATTTCGTCCCGTTATGCGAACACAATGTTCTAGGGTGGGGGTGAAAGAATGCAAGAATTTTTGGAAAGTTTCAAGGACAAATACACCGCCCCAGGTTATTTAACGGTACCATCTCAGTGTGAGAGTGCATTGTGAAAGTAAGTATCAGTTTCTTAATATAGATCTTCAAGTGCGTTAGCAAAATGTCGGGGTTTAAAAGGAAGCGTGTTGTGTTAAGTATTCAACAGAAACTT